AAAAAAAAACATTCTGATGAAAGAAAGCAGTTCCGCAGAAAATCGAATGCATCAACTCAACGTACGAATCGCTTTGTTTCTCGTCGAACCACATCGTTCGTTCTTCATCAATACCAAATCTTCTACTCACTAATTCTTTATCCAACCAACGCAAACGCTCATCACTGCGTTGTATTGAATGTTTTACTGTGTACGGACGATTTAACAGATAACGAAACTGAAACTTACTTATTACTACAAAAAGTTGACATTACAAACTACGATAACAGCTTATGAAATCGATCAAATGATCGCCATCGATCTCAGGATTGACTAATGAATTACATCAAATATTTTACCATAGAAACATTTCCAAGAACAAGTGAAACTTGAAAATCGATGCTTCTATTAATTACAATTCGTTCGCACATTCAATAAACAACCTCGCACCTGCTGATAATAAGATGGATCACGTTCAATCACATACGGAATTGCTTTGCCGGCAATTTCATTTGCACGTCCACTGAGGTTATATAACGCATTCATCAACTCTCTATCCAAATTACTCCCTTCCAAATCCGTAGAAATGCTCTTGAGTTGGCCTTGAACGAGGAGAATGATCATCAACGAATAATATATCACGGGAGGAAATGAATGTAAATATTTTGATGAACTGAGCACGTTTTGATTCACATCAAAAAATCCGATTGTGTCTTTTCTCGTCGTTTAATTTTTTTCCAGTCATTTTGCACCGCATTTTCCGATCATGCGATTATACGGTGCATCCACTACGATGTCCGACTAGGATGTGCCATTTTAAAGAACTATTCTTGCTTCAAGCGATAACTGAATAGTTCATCCCAGAATCACACTTCACTTCTCATGTTCCACCTTTCTGCTGATCTTCAACTTCAAAACTCCATATGAATTCTTTTCCACTTCATAAAACGATTTTAAAAATCGTACACGAGACTCTTTACTATCCTACTATTCTAAACTGAATCGGCAACAATAGGCAATGCAAAAATAACCTTGAATCACCCTCAATCCGAACAGACCATCAACATTAAGTTCACTCAGATGTTGTTCATAATAATTTTCAATACCATTTAAAGCGTTCAATATTAACGCAATAAGACGTGCAGTATTCCAACTCAGATACTGCGCCAGCAGTGGAGCCATCATTCATATATATATCTCCCTTCTCAGTCAATTATATCCCGACATTGTCATCCGAAAATCCGTCTGATGCATGTAACTGAATCGATATGACCTTTCAATAAACACGAACATGAACCACTCTCCATGTGTTACGCTCATTTTGCTCATCTCTCATGAAACGAAGAACGTGTTTACTAGAATTTGAAACACGAATAAACGGGTCCCATTCAAAAATTGTGTGCATTATAAGAAATTTGATCATTGTTGATTTTGCAAAATATCTCTTGGAATTTTGATAAAACAGAAGTGTGACTGAAGACGATCGCTAAAGAAAACATGAACGACATAGCATGAACGAGAACATGCGAATATTCACTTTCTAACCAGAAAAACGACTCAAATACTGCAAACTGTCACGTGCAAAATGGAACACATTCAGACAAAACTAAAAATTAACAAAGACCGTATGGAAAAAATCGTTTTATTGAAAACATACAAAACAGTGAATCAAAATGTGTAACTGAGACCATTCTTCAAACGAAGAAAACAACAACAATAACGATAACAATGCGAGCATAAACACTGATATTATCGAAGCAGATTGACATTAACTAATCGGAAATAATTCAACAAACAACCAAACGCTTTTACAAAATTGAACGGAACCATTCTGCTTTCTTTCGACACATTTTCGGTTTACTTTTAGTTCGTTTAAATTTTCGCGTTTAATGCAAATTCCAAACACTATTAATATAAAATAATCTCCTATGACGCTTACAGAGGAACGCTGAATTCTTTTTTTTAACAAAATCACTTAACATAAAACCTAAATTCCATTACTTCCGGAATAGAGCAGAATCAAAATCGGAATAACACGAGAAAACGTTATTTACTTAGCCACATTCAAGATTTACTCAGCAGTTGAGAAATACGACAAACCAATTTCTTGAACTGCCGACATTCGAAAAACTCAAATGAAAGCGAACTCCGTTACAAAAGATTAGCGTCTAAA